TTTCTGTAACTGGTCACATGGGCATAGCTGGTATTTATAACTACCTTCTTCCATTACCACTACCATTACCGTACTCCCTTTGCCTTCTGCAAACACCTCGGCCAGTCATGGTTCTTTACCTAGTGGGGTGACTTAAACCTTCATTCCTGAAGGTTTAAGGCCATTAATTTATAACTACCTTCTTCCATTACCACTACCATTACTGTACTCCCTTTGCCTTCTGCAAACATTACCTGAGCATTCCTGAAGGTTTTAGGCCATTAGTAGTCCTGTCTGGGTTGGATTGTTGTAGTTTTCCATTGATGTCAATTAAGCACAGGGTGTGATGACATGAAGAGACCCCCTAAGCAGCGGTCCCCAACTTTTTGGCACCAGAGACAGGTGCTCCTAAGAGATTCTAATGCCTGATAATCTGAAATGGAGCTGAACCAGTGCTGGGGAGCAGCTGTAAATGCAGATGAAGCTTCTCTGGCTCACCCGCCGCTCACCTCCTGCTGTGTGGCCCAGTTCCTAACTGGCCACAGACCAGTACTGGTCCACGGCCCAGGGGTTGGGGACCTCTCCCCTAAGAGATCTGCTGTACTCCAGACTTACTCTTCCTCACCTCCTTTGTGGAGCAGCGGTCCAGCTCACCCTGGCAGTCAGGATCAGTCGCCCAGCCAGCACACTAACTCCCTTCTTCACTTGTTGATACAGAGGCCTGAGGAGCCTAACGTGGCCAGAAAGTAGTCTTAACCTCCAGCTCAATGGGATCATTGTTATGTCTCTAACATTCTAAATATTAATATTTTACTGATCATTTTATTTATTCTCTGTTTTCCCTTCTAGCAGATGAGCTTGATGAGAGCAGGATCTGGGTCCGTTTTGGCCCTGACTAAATCCCCAGCATCTAGAACGGGGCCTGGCACGTGGCAGGTGCTCAGTAAGCATCGCTGAGCTTACTGTGAGAAGTGCCCATTGCCCACGTCAGAGCCCCAGCCTCAGAGCCAGGCCTGTCCAAAGGAGCCTTGGGTCCTAACATCTTTCTTAACAAAGGGGCCCAGCTGCCTTCCTCTCACAATGCAGTTGCCGAGCTGTCAAGTGAACACAAGGCCTCTGTGTTCACCATTCCAGTCCATTTAGGACTGTTTACTAGACTAATCTGGAACAATAAACCTGTCCCCACCCTCCTGGCGCCTGCCTCACTCCATCCTAGGCCCATGTTTGAAGATGTGTTTAAATTCTGGGCCTACACTCAGCAGACGCCGTGGGCCAGCTCCTGGCCAGGGAGCACTGGTAAGGGGGGCCACCGGGATACTCAGGGCCCCTTGGTGGCCGGGCCTGCCACACAGCCATCCAGGGAGTGAGGCAGCTTTAGTCTTCACCTGGTGTTTGTTATTCCATGTCAAAGCTTTATCGTAAACATTATCCTAGAGTGTGCCACCAAGGCTACGTGCAGGCGAGGAGGGTTTGTTATTCTAAAGTGGCCGGGAACAGAAGGCACGGAGGCCTAGGAGTCTGGGAGCAGTGCGGGCTTGGGAATTCAGGGTGAACGAGAGAGAGGCAGCAATCAATACCAGGCGCTTCTTCTGTACAGGGCCTAGAGGCCCCACTTACCGCCCTCTACTGTCATGGCCAATTGGCAAATCTGCCTCTAAAATGAGCTCCATGTGGGTAGGAACCAAACCCAATTAATACACCAACCCCAGATCCCTGCAGAGAAACAACAGAAGGTAAATGTTTGTTGAACGAACGAATGGAATGAATGAATGAATGAGTGCAACTTTCCAATATTTGTTGGAAGCACTAAGAATGCTCATGAAGGAGCTCATTTTACTTTGGAGTCCTGGACATGGGGACCTGATCATTTTATTTATTCTATTCATCATTTTATTAGGAAATCACAGACATGATTTCAAACCCCAGCTCAGTCCTTTACAAGCTGTGAGGCCTTGGGCCTGTCCTTCCCGTCTGCTTCTTTGGTTTCCTGTCTGTAACAGGGACACCATCCCTGCTGGCCGTCCCTCAGGGAGAGCAGAGGGAGGCCCCCGTGGGCAGTGGTAAACCAAGGGGAGCGTTCCACGGTTAGACTACCCAGGCCCAAGGGCACGCCCCAGCCCTCTCTAGCTTTTTCACTTTGGGTGAGTTATTTAATGTCTCTTTGCTGCAGTTGTGTTTTTTTTTTAATCTATTAAATGGGACTGATACTAGACCTATCTCAGAGTTGCTGTAGAGGTTAAATAAATTAATATGAGCTTAAAGGGTTCCTGACACATAATAAGTGCTCAATAAAAATAGTGATCCTAGTAATGAATGGATGAGGACTGCCTCATAAATTGCAAAGGATGGATACAAGGCAGGAGGTATGGGGATAGGGACCTGTGATTCAGGGGCAGCCTCCTTCCTTCTGAAGCAGTTCCTGAATGTCTGTGGTCCAACAGTGAACACAGAGGCAGGCTTCCTGCCTACACCAGGCTCTTGGTCTAGACAGGCAAGGAACAGCAGATTATCTGAAATGGACACTTGATGGGATAAGTGCCAAGATCAAAGGAAGCACAGGGGTCTGTGGGAGGCACCAAACCCTGCCAGGGGTTGGGGAAGTTCGGGATGACAGGCTTGGGTTTGGTCACAGCCTACCACACTCAGCTGTGCCACACTGGGAATGCCTCTTCAATGATCAGTAACAAGCTAATAATAAATATTCCCTGGCCATTTCTGGCTATTTCACAAGGCTCCAGAAAGAAAATAGGTATGGCACCGTATGTGGGATGAATGTGTACTGTGGACATCCAGAAATCCAGCCCCAGGGCCCAAGGCGCTGCAAAGCATCTTGGGGTGGGTGTCAGGAGACCTGGGTGTGAGCTCACTTTGCCCGCTGGTCACTGTGTGGCCTTGAGTAAACCCATCCTGCCCGCTCCGGGGCCCTGTCTCCTCTCCTCTTCTATATGACAAGGACTTAGGATGAGATTAGTGGTTCTCAGCTGGGCTCCAGGGGTACCTATGGGTTCCACAGAGAAGCTTTGGGTACCCTTGCTGCAGGGAGACATTGAGCCAGCAGGACTTCAGGCTCCAGCCTGTGTCCCTTATATCAGTCAGGGAAGTTTTCATTTTTATTGGCTCCACATTTTAAATTCCAAGGTTACGTTCCCTTTGGAAAACAATAATAACAAAAACAAACAAACAAACAAAAAGAATTCTGTGGCTAAAAAAGGTTGAAAAACCACTGGACCAGGTGACCTCCACAAGCCCTTCCAGCTCCAGTCTAGAAAGGCTTAGGTCTAACTGTTTTCTTCTGTTATTTAGCAAGCATTTATCCAGCACTTTCTAAATGCCAGAACTGTTCTTAGCACCCTACAGACTGTAACGTGCTTAATTCAGTAGAACACCTAGCTCAATGAGGGCCGCATGACTGAGGAAGTGACTTCATGTGGCTAGGAGGGTCCAGGAGAGCCATTTTCCTTGAGGCAAGTCTTCTGGGTGCCTGAGCAGATGACCTCACCACAGGCTAGGTGCTGCTTGGCCAGGCCGACTCTGAGAAGTATCAGGGCAAGATGTGGTCACAGGAAGTCTGTGTGTCCCAGCTCCCAGAGGAGGAGAGCAGAGCACTCCAGCTCGACACGGATGCTTTCATCCAAGGCATGAGCCATGAAGGAGGAAGTGCTTGTTGCCTTAGCAATGTCTTCAGCAACAGGGCCACTGCCTCCTGTGATCTATCCCCAGCCACCATGCTGCCATCAACACCCTGCACCAGGTGGCTGCAGATCGGATTTCAGGGGTGATGGTCAGAGCCTGGAGAAGGCCCAGAGGTGGGATGGTGGGGTGTGACCTCATCTCCAGCCAGCTCATTAGGGGGAGCAGCCCGGGTTACTGCATCTCAGCACAATCCAACTCTCCTGCCTGCCAGAAACAAATGTAGGAGACGGAGATGGGTGGAGGTGATCGCACAAGCACAAGCTCGGCCCCATTGCCCATGACAGTATTTTGGCCAGATTTCGTGTACCTATTGTGTGAGCCTTTCTGTTCGCATTATGTGTTCTGGAGCCATGCGTCTGATGCCACTTGGTAGGAACTTCTGCCATGTGGTGCTCGTGTGCCCCAAATGCAGACAAGAATTGAGGAAGTTCCTTCTCCTCCTGGGCCTCAGTTTCCTCATCTAAAATGGGACATTTTAGGTCATTTCTCAGGGCCCTTCTACCTCAGGCAGGCCATATTCCATTACAACCGTGGTCCCCAAATGCCAGAAGCAATCAGGCTGTAGAGAAGTTCCCAAGGAGCCTGTTAAACACATGCATCCTGGGCTCAACCTCAGAGATTCTGATCCCAGGGTTGGGGCCTTGGCATTTGATATGCTACATAACACACCAAGTGATTCCGATGCCTGGGTCTACCCGGGACACAGCTGTGCCCCCAGAGCCTGGCATGGTGGCCCGGAGCACCAAGGAGCTTGAGGAAACACATGCTGGGTGGGCTCGGAGGGGCCCAGCTCCTAGGCCTTTGCCGGGTGTGAGGATGGCTTCCGGAGCAGGTGGCATTTCGCTTGGGTCTTGACATCGAAGTGGGCATTTTCTGTGTTTTGTTTATTTGTTTGTTTTGCTTTGTTTGGAGGGTGCCCTTGATTACAAAATGAGCCATCTATGCTCGTTCTAGAACTTTCCTAAGCACAGGGAAAGAAAGGAATCCAAAGAAAAAACTCACCCATCATTCAAAAACCCAGACACGCTACAGTTCTCATTTTGCCACATCGTTAGATAAGATGTTGTCACCCAGAGCCGGAGTGGGGACCTGTGTGGGCAGAAGGCGGGAGACGAGAACAGGCTGCATGTGTTCAGAGGCCAGTGAGTAAGGAGCGGGAAGTGTGGAAACATTCAGCCTGCGCCAGCTGGTGCTGGCCCCACACACCTTCTCCGTTTCGAGGCCTGTTACCCAAAGTCCAGAGGGAAGAACGCCAGTCCCGGAGGTGTCAGAGACCTCGGCCAGGTCCCTGAGCACAGCCCTTATTTCTCTCTCTTTCCTCTGCCCAGGTGCTGTTTGCCCTGAACCAGACTCTGCTGCAGCACGAGAGCGTGCGGGCCGGAAGCCTGCAGGCACCCTACACCACGGAGGACCTCATTAAGCACTACAACTGCGGAGACCTCAATGCCGTCATCTTCAACCATGACACATCCCAGGTGAGGCTCCCCTCCTCCAGCCCAGACAGCCTCTGGGTCACCAGCTCCCCAGGCCAGGCCCATATGAACCCACCTGGCATGTATTAGACACCTACTATGAGCCGGGTGCAGGCAGTCTCTCCAGCCATGGCGAGCAAGAGCTGTTGGGATCCCCATTTTACAGATGGGAAAACTGAGGCTCAGAGAGAGAAAGAGACTTGTCCAAGGCCACACCACTCATTAGTTGTTGGGTTACAGAGTTATCAAGAGTAGCACTTGAACCTGCTGTGTGTAGAACCTGGAAGCTTAGCCTGGAAGAACAGGGAGGCCTCCGGGAGGCTCAGGTCAGCATCTGGGGAAATTAAAGCCCAGAGAGAGCAAAGTCCACAATTATTCAGAGCTTGGGCTTGAGTCCAGCCCAGGGCATTCTGCCTTGAGGAAAATTATCATCAGGCTGGGCAGACAATAGGTGGGACCCTGAGAGCTAAGCATGACTCCATCAGGCCCCCCAATGCCCTCGGGATAAATTCCGAGATACTTCAACCAGCATTCAAGGCTCTCTGTGTCCCACCCTCCACTGGCCTTGTCACAGCCCAGGTCCCTCACCACACAGAGCTTGTTCTGCTGACCAGTGCCACATGCAGCTCTTCCCCACTGCAGTTTGCCCTTTCAGAGTGATCTGCCTTTGTCCAGGCTTCTCCCTCCTGATGACCTCCCACTTGGCCATGGTCAAATGTCACCTTCTCTGAGAAACTCTCCCTGACTCTCTGGATGGAGTTACGTATTCTCCCAGATACTTCTAGGCCTGCTGTGCTTTCTAGGTCATGGTGCTTGGATGTTCATTCATTCAAGAAGCAGTTGTATTAGTCAGAACAGGCCACTTCCCTGCTCAGGACGCTGTAATGGCTCCTCATTTTTCTCAGGGAAAAATCCAGAGTCTCTACAATGGCCTGCATGGCCCGTGTCTTCTCCCCGCAACGTCATGTCCTCGGCCCTCCCTTCACACCCGCCACTCCAGCTGCATGGGCTTCCTTGCTGTTCCATGAGCCCACCTGGCATGTTTTACTTTGGCACCGGCTGTTCCCTCTGCCAGGAATACCTTTCCCAGGTGTCACCAGGGCTCACCCCTGCTCTGCCTTCAAGGCTTAATTCAAATATCATCGTCTCAATGAGGCGGGCCCTATCTACTCAACCTAGAATTGCAACCTGACTTCCACTCTCACACTCTCCTCCCCTTTCTTATGCTCTGCATTTTCCCCATGGTCTTTATCATTTTCTCACACACTTATATATCTTGATTCACTGATTAGTGATTAGTTACTATCTGTCCTTCCTCACTAGAGCAGAGCTCCCTGAGGGCAGCTGGCCCTATCTACTCAACCTAGAATTGCAACCTGACTCCCACTCTCACACTCTCCTCCCCTTTCTTATTTTCCCCATGGTCTTTATCATTTTCTCGCACACTTATATATCTTGATTCACTGATCAGTGATTATTTACTATCTGTCAGGATCTGTTTCATTCAACGGTATATTCCAAGTGGCTAGAGCAGTGCCGACCATAGAGCACAGTGACAGTGCCGACCATAGAGCAGGACAGGCACAGTGATGTGAAAAGGGCTATTGAGGAGACCAAGACAGACTCAGAGGAGAGATGGGGAGATTCGCCCAGCGATCTGCGTGATCCTTGCTGTGAGGAAGATCAGAGGATGTGTTTGGAGCCTACAGCAGGAGCAGGAATTTAGATGGGCTTGGGGGTCGGGAGTGGGGCTGGGATGAGAAGGAAAGATTCCTGCAATATGAGAGGTTAGAGAAGAACGTGAATTGGCCACAGAGAGGAGGAGGAAGAATGTTCCATCAGGAAACTGCATGCGAACAAGGCGGAGACAAGAGAGAGAGGAAAGGAGAAGTGTGAGCATTGGGCTGGAGGCACAGCCGGGATCAAGCCGAGGAAAGATTCCTGCAATATGAGAGGTTAGAGAAGAACCTGAATTGGCCACAGAGAGGAGGAGGAAGAATGTTCCATCAGAGGAAACTGCATGCGAACAAGCCGGAGACAAGAGAGAGAGGAGAGGAGAAGTGTGAGCATTTGGGCTGGAGGCACAGCCGGGGACCAAGCCATGACATTCTTTCGGAATGCCGCCCCACTAAATCCAGAGCTTGAGGGCAAGGCTGGGGTGCTCATCTGTCGGTCCTGGTGCCAGCATAGAGCCTGGCACAGAGCGTGCATCCGTGAGCAGCTGTCACATGAGTGAATGTGGGTGTGTGTTGTGCTCCATACAGTGTAGAGAGTAAAAGAGGGAGGATCTGTAGACTCGGCCACAAGAGGCCCAGGATTCCAAGAGAACTCTGACACCATGAGGCTCATAGACGTTTCACCAGTCATTCACTTCGTGACAGAGCCGCACCCTATGTCATCCACTAGGAATAGGCTAGGAGCCCTGAGCAGCCAGAGAGCTCTGTGGCAGAGGGGACCTTGTCACCGCTTAAGATAGCTTGACCATGATGTGGCTGGGCTGGGGGGAGAAGTATTCAGGACAGGGCCCTGACAAGGCTGCAGCTGACACTAAGCTGAGAGAGGGAGGAAGGGGGTGACCTCAGGTGATAGCAAGCTCAGATTTTCTTTGAGCCTGTGTCCAGAACCACTGATTTGTCTCTGGCAGGTGAACTGCATCTGAGGTCTCCTGGCAGTGCCCGTACTTGATATTGGTTCACCCAGATTAGAGTGGCGACCCAGGCTGCACCCAGGCATGCACAGGCAGTCTATCCCTCAGGGCGTAGCCGTAGGGCAGCACGGCTAAATCCAGTGCCCATGTGCCAGTGGAGAAAGGGTCCAGGTGCGGTAGGGCTATGTCTGCAGCTGGGGGCCTCAAAGGCTGCAGGAGCTGAGGACACAGGGGCTGTGGGGGTATGATCACAGATTCAGGATGATGGTAATATTGGAGCGAGGCTGGAGAGCAGAGTAGGGTGAGGATGAAGGAAGGGACCGGCAGGCAGAGTAATCTGCCTGGTGAGGGTGCAGGAAGGTGAGAGGTCCTGAGAAAAGATATGCAGAGCAGAGGGCAGATCACATGGGGGTGAGAATGTCCGCTGAGGGGAGGAAGCCCTGGAGTGCTCAAGCCTGAGATTAGTGTGGTCATAAATAGGCCTGTGGCTACAGTGCCAAGGATAATGAGGTGGCCTCTGGAGGCCAGGAAGAGACAGGCAGAATGCCCAAGGTGATAACGTTGAGGAACAGGGGCCGAGAGCACATTCTTCCCGGTCTACCTTGCTTCCCCACCCACCTCACCTTCAGAAATGGCTGAGGCTGACCGCCCACAGCTCCAAGGTCACCTGCATTGTCAGTGCCCCCAAATCAGAATGATCCCTCCCCTGCGAAGTCTTGTCTGAGATCCCTAGACTGCATTAGGTATAGAGTGGCCATATATTTATCATCTAAACTCAGGCACTTCTGAGAGTGAAAGCTAATATATAATTAAAGGTCAGAATAATTAACAGAATAATTAACAATCTACCCTAGCCATGAACCTAGACTGTCATGGAGAAACCAAGACACATGGTCACCCTGTTAGGTGCCTCTTTCCTTCCTCAGTCCTTCAGCACCCTCTCAAAGCACGGATCCCACAGTGTTCTCATGTGAAGTCTGACTCCCCACTGGGCTGCAAGTTCTATCCAGGGCAGCAGACCCGGGCCGAGGGCTCTCTGTGGCCCTCTGGCCCAACACAGGCGAGACTGGTGAAAGTTCTCGGAAGTTGTCTGTTGGATGGGTGGGGTAAAGAGAAAGGATGAGGCCATTGAGGTCAGTGACACATGAAGACTGAGCACTTGACTGCCAGTCCTAGTCATGGGTCAGGGGAGCCTACACTGAGGTCATCCCCCGTGGCCCCACCCCAGCTCTGTCCGGCCTATCTTCTCTTTACCCCATCTCAGACCCATCACCCTAGGGCCCTGGGGCCCTGACGTGTCCTCTTTAAAATCTTATCGTGCATCCTGCACTTAAACTTTTCAAAGGAGATTTAAGGCTGCCGACAAGTCTAATGACATCATTAATTTGCTCCCATCCCACCCACACCCAAACCCAGGCCCCATCCTTGGCATGGAGCCCATCATCATGAACCGGGCAAGAGAATGTCAGCCAGCTGCTGGGCAGCCAGGGAACTGGAGTGTCTAGCCCAAATCCTCTGCAGCTTTGATGTTGAAATTTCTGGTTCTTGTTCTTGTTAAATTTTTTTTAGCTCCCTAAGGAATGGAGATTTATCTTCCCACAAATGCACACTCGTCAGGAAGCAAAGGAGGGAAGTCGTCTGCCTGCACCCTTGATAGAAGGGCAGGGGAACAGAATACCGCCATCATGGCTCTCTGAAGATTCTGAAGGAATGCTTTGTCATCTCTGTCTCTGCCCCCTGCCTAGGGCCACCCTTCACTGTAGCCTCTGCCATCATAAGGGAAAGGTGACAGAGCTAGCTTCATCCCCCAGGCCAGTTGTACAAAGCTGACATTCAGTCAGGATTTCTTTTGTGCCATGCACTGTGCTAAGTGCTTTCCAAAACTGATCTTACTTAATTCCAACAATGTATATTACCCCCATATTACCAGTTTGGAAACCGAGTCTCAGACAAGCCAAGTTACTTGCTAGTTATAGAGGTCACCCAACTGGTAAGTGGCAAAAGAGGGGTTCCAGCTCAAGTTATCCTGGCCATCAGACTTCAGGACCCACATTCCTACTACCATAACTCTACTGCCTCTCAGCTCATTCACTCATCCATTCATTCACTGATTGAACAGATATTTATTTGTTGGTACAACATCGTCTCACATTCTTTCCTGTGTCCAAGGAATGAAGAGAAGCCTATGAGGGCTGTTTCCAGGAATAACCCTTCCAAGTCACAGCTCTCTGTTCCCCCTTTACTCAGAAGCCTGCAGTGTTGCCTTTCTCATAGCTAAGGTCTAACTGTGGTCTGTTTTGTCAGGGCTGCCAATCATCCCTTCCACGGTTGGAGGAGGGCATAAGGGCTCCATTTCCTCATTTATCCGCTTGCCAAACAATCCCTGAACACCAACTCTGTGTTGGCCCTGTTGGGCACTGGCATGGCTGCTGTGTACAGCTATACGGGTTGTGCAACACACAAACTTAGGATACGCCAGTCACATCATTGTCTTGTCCAGCCTAGAACAGCAAATTAGGGCTTTCTGGCAGAGAAGCCCCACTCTCTCACTCTGGGGAATTCACTGATCCTTGGCCAGCAGATATCAGAGACAGACAGCTGTCTCAGCCTTCTCGAAGTCCCTTGGGGTTCACCCTCCATTGACGCCTCTATTTTCCTCAGAAAGACAGTTGGCAACTCTTCAGGGGCTCTAGAAGTGATGCAGTTGGGCCACACGACTCTTCTTGGGACTGAAACCTGCAGAAATTATTCTCTTTATGCCAGACTCTCTATCTAGCTAATTCACCAGTCAGCTAGGCCTCATGTTCTGTGCTTTCTGCGTGGGTTGATGAACACAGAGAAATGGAAGAAGGGACACCATGTGGAGGACATCCTGTGAGCAAGAGCTTGGAAGTTGAAAAGACATGGGCAGGT